CTGAACACGGGCGAGTTTGAATCAACACGGCCGTGTCGAATGCCAACACGGTCCGTGTCAATTCTCTGAGCAAAACTTCACTTTTTTCAGCACGGACACAACACGGCCGTGTCGAATGCAACACGGTCCGTGTTGATTCTTCAACTCGAACATGCTTGACAGATTTGCTCATAACTTTCTGCTCCAATGTCAGATTTGTGCGATCTTGGTGTCTATGCGTAGATATTGAAGAGAGCTTTCCAATGAGGTAGAGAGCACGCAATTTGGACTTGTAGAGTGGAAGTTATTAAACTTGCAAGATTTGTCTTTTTAGGCTTCGTGTTTTTCCCCGGAACAACTCCAAATGTTCCCGTTTCGTCTGTGATGTTCCGTAATCCATATTTTCCACTCCTTTTGCTCTCTTTTATGCATGAATACCTGTTTTGATACCAAAGAAAGCAACCAAGCAATATCGAGACCAAATGTGCTCTAGAATGCCTATAAATATGCAAAACCGAGTAAAATGCACTAGACATCCTATACCAAAATGTCACCAAAATACATGTCATCAACGAGCTCGCTGTAAAGGGTTACACCGATGCTAGTTTTCAGTCAGACCTAGATGATTACAGATCGCAGTCTGGCTATGTTTTCTGCTTGAACGGAGGCGCTGTTAGCTGGAAGAGTTCCAAGCAAGCGACCGTTGCAGATTCTACTACAGAAGTTGAGTATATTACAGCGTCAGACGCAGCAAAGGAAGCTGTTTGGATCAGAAAGTTTGTTGGTGACTTGGGTGTTATTCCTAGTGCTGATAGCCCCATTGCTCTGTATTGTGACAACAATGGAGCGATCATACAAGCGAAAGAACCCAGATCCCATCAACGATCCAAACACATACTCAGAAGATTTCACCTTATCAGGGAGATCATAGACAGAGGAGACGTGCACATTTGCAGAGTGTCGACAGATGACAACATTGTCGATCCGTTGACGAAGCCTCTCCCTTCGTCGAAACATGAGGGTCATGTTAGGGATATGGGCATTAGATGTTTAGCAGTCCATGATTAGAGCAAGTGGGAGATTGTTGGTTTAGTGTTCTATGATGAACTGTTGTATGAGCTTTCGTATGATACATTTGATGTATTGACACTTTCTATGAGCTTATGAATGAGTGTCTGATTCATTACGTATTGTGCATACTTGATATGTTATGAAATCCATGTATTGTTATGAATAATGCTAAACTCCCTAGTCATGTATCATTGTGGGAATAATGATATACCAAGACGATGATCATAGGTATTTGGATACGATCACAATCATAGGTATTCGTTGGAGAATGGAATACTGGATTGACCCGCATGAGATTGTCACATGGACTAGCGTCATGACTTGAATCTCATATGGCGGTTCCATGATTGGATCCTAAGACCTGAGATATCTACGGAATCCAACATGAGGAGTTGCGTGATTTGAATACATCAAACGTCCTGCGTAACAGGAGGATTATAAAGGCGTGTATCAGGTACGAAACGAATCATGTGCTGGATTGTAGATAGTCAAGATGAGATTTGTACCTCTCGTAAAAGAGAGAGATATCGCTGGACCCCTCGTGTGAGCGAGACTGTAGAAATGTGTGGCCGCACTATAGACGAACGTCGTCTATTTCAGACAGTCGAACTCAGTGAACGAGAAAGCAGTCGAATCAGATAAGGTGGCTTGTCCATGCCTTATATTCTACATATGATATCGTGATACAAAAGGATCATCAACCGGAATCATCACTGGCGTTCATAAGATCACGAACAAACTCTATTCGAGATAGGTAGTCATAGTGTCTTGCTAGAGGCCGCCTATGACTTATATATCCGGAATAGAGATTTCGGGTTATACTGCTATATCGGATGAGCCTACAGGGTCACACACAGAGGAAAGGACGAATGCGCGAGAAGAGACGAGAAAATCCCAGTGGAGAGGAGGCCAGACCGACCGGTCTAGAAGGGCTAGACCGATCGGTCCAGCCAGCCGAGAACGTGCAAATGTTGCTCGGTCCGGAAAATGTTTCAGACTGATCGATCCGAAACCATGGACCGATCGGTACACACGTTAAAAGCTCCAGACCGATCGGTCCAGGCATCGGTCCAGACGTCGGGATTTCCTAAACTCGCTCTAATTAGGGTTTTAAGTGGGATTAACTTTGGGGAACACTACCGAAGCCTCTGGGGAGGTTTTTCAGACCCTATTGACAAGTTTTGATAATGAAAAACCTAAGAGTTAGATCCCTGAAACCTTTGCGCAAAGAGGAACGTGTTCTTCAGTCCTAGCAGACAAGTTTCAACCGTTGGAATCCTTTGCGCCGTGTGGATACGTGTAGAGGGCAAGGTATTCTTCCTGCCTATAGTGATCGGACGAACACATCAATTGATACAGGCCCCGGATCGATTGAGGTAAGCGTTCTAACGTTTCTACAAGATCATGCATGATAGGTTTTAGGGTTTCATCAAAATTTTTGTTTTACATCCGCTGCGCAAACCCTACAACTAATCTCTTAGGAATTAGATTCGCTCTTGAGATCCCAGGAAAACCCAACACGGATTATCCATCGAGAGATGGATGCCGATTTTTGTCGATATGTAGGGACCCGATCAATGTGTTGTCTAAATATTCTCATAACTTTCAGAGCATATATTAGATTTGCGCGATCATGATGTCTTTGCGTAGTATTAAAAAAAAACTTTCTAATAACATAAAGAAAGAATAATTTGGACACGTTTTGTGAAAGTTATGAAGTTAATAATTTGATCAGTCAACAATCGAACAACTCATCGGGTATGACTCGTTATTTGGTTTGAATTGTTGACCATATGCTGATGGATAGCGATTCGAGTCAACTTCTGAGTCATCAGATCACTTAACGGACGATGGATATTAGTTTGAGTTGATTTTCGGATCATCGGATTATACATCGAGAGATGGATGCCGATTTTTGTCGATATGTAGGGACTAGATCAATATATTGTCTAAATATGCTCATAACTTTCAGCGCATATATTAGATCTGCGCAATCATGGTGTCTCTACGTAGTTTAAAAAAACGTTTCTAATGACATAAAGAAAGAATAATTTGGACACGTTTTGTGAAAGTTATGAAGTTCATAATTTGATCAGTCAACAATCGAACAACTCATCGGGCATGACTCGTTATTTGGTTCGAATTGTTTACCATATACCGATGGCTAGCGATTCGAGTCAACTTCTGAGTCATCAGATCACTTACTGGCCGATAGATATTAGTTTTGGTTTATTTTCACATCATCGGATTATCCATCGAGAGGTGGATACCGATTTTTGTCGATATGTAGGGACTAGATCAATGTGCTTTCTAAATATGCTCATAACTTTCAATGCATATATTATATCTGCGCGATCATAGTGTCTATATTTAGTTATTTAAAAAATGTTTCTATTGACATAAAGAAAGAATAATTTGGACACGTTTTGTGAAAGTTATGAAGTTAATAATTTGATCAGTCAACAATCGAAC